TTATATAGTTACTCTTTATTGATTCTTTTTGTAACAGTGGATTGGCTAAAATGGATTAATTCATTACTAAAATGAAAAATTTGAAATAAGTTTGCTTGTGACTTACCCAAATAAACCTTTTCATTTCTAAAATAGCATGTTTCTCATTATAATAAAAGGAGTCAACATAGAATGATATTAAAAGTAGTCAGTCGTCCATTGATTGTCCAAAGTTAAATGTGATTTTTGAGGTTAAAGGAGAAGAGTGTTGTTCTGGCAGTAGTGGTCTGGGAGGACTTGATGAAATAGGTGGAGGCTGTCTCAGCTGATGCTTTAATAAGTATGAGTGGTGTTTGTCAGCTTGTTGAAGTTAGAAGAAAATCATCTGCTCAGGTAAAAAGTAAACACAATCACGTATCTATCTAGGAAAGAGCATGCAGGCCATTTTGAGCTCTACCACAAGGAGCAGAATTCATAGGAAAGATTGTAAGAAGTTAGGCTGACAGAATATTTGTTGGTAAGAGAACCATGGGTTGGTGACAGGGATTTTTTCCCCCTGGTAAGCAAACTATTTTTACTCAGCAGTGTTGAATTTATCTTTTTTAGCTGGTTTAGGAACAGGGGAATAATAATAATACAGAATATTTTTAGAAAGATAAATCCGGTTACAGTAAAAGAGACTACAAAAAAAATTGTTTTGACAAAACATAGAAGATGCAAGTCTAGTTAGCTGCCGATGCTACTGTCTTGGAGTGGCCTGGATTGGTACAGTAGAGATGGGGATGGAAAGATGAAGCAGATAAAATGATTTCATTTGGAGGAGGAAAGATTATTAGTTGACTTGGGAAGAACTAGAAAATGTAATCTCAGAATCAGTCTAAAGCTTAGACACTACCATTCTGGGACACAGATTATTCCAGCTACTAGCTTAGTGATGGTGGGTTCTTTTTTTGTTTATTTTGTTCATAGCCAAACTTCACCAAAGAAAAATAACAGATTTGGTGTGATACAATTCGCATATGATAAAACCTATTCTTTTTAAAATGTGTAATTCATCGGTTTTTAGTATATTCACAGAGTTGTGCAAATACTACTCTCTTCTAATTTCAGAGCATTTTCATCACCTCCAAAAAGAAACCCTATACACTGCTCATTCCTTCCTCCCACCCTACCCCCACCTGCCAATAACCACTAATTTCCTTTCTTTCCCTCTGGGTTTTCTTTTGTATAAATGTAGCCATATAAAATGTGACCTTTTATGACTTAGTAAAAATATTTTTAAGATTCATCTATGCTGTAATATATCAATACTTCATTTTATGGCTGAATAATACATATGTGACTATACTACCTTTTATTTCAACCTTTGTTTCAACCTTTTCCATCTTTCTACCTTCTTGTTGTGCCCACAATTCTTCTGGATATTATAACAAATGCTGCTCTGAACATTCATGCACACATTTTTGTGTGAATGCATGTGTTCATTTCTCTTTCATATATATCTGTGTGTTGAATTATTAGGTCCTCTATAACTGTTAAATGTTGTGATGAAATGCCAGACTGTTTTCCAAAGCATTTGCCCTACTTACATTCCCATCAGTATTATGTATGTAACCACTTTCTTCACTTTTCTTCCCTCTTCAGCCCCTTATAGTCTGGTATTAGATGTTACTATTCCTCCCAAACTATTGGGTTGTCAGAAAAGTCAGGACACATTTTTTTTTTCTTTGAAAAACATAGAAAAAAAATGTGTCCTGACTTTTCTGACAACCTAGCACTGTCACCATGTTGTTAAATGTTGCATGTTGTTAAATTCAGAAATCCCTCTTCATACTTTATCATATCTGATAATTAGATTCCTCAGCAATATTGAAACATTTTTTCCCATCTGGCTGCCTCTTCTCAGTCTCTTGCAGGCAACTATTCTTTACCTACTTATGTATGCTGGACATTTTTAGAAAATACTGGGTCCCTTCTTTCTCCCCTCCATCCCTGTGGCATTTTATTCTCAATTAAAATTTTTATTGAAGTCTTTGTAGATCCACGTGTAGTTTAAGAAATAGTAGAGATCCCTTGTACACTTTGCATCATTTCCATAGTGGTCATGTTTTGTCAAACTGTAGTGAAATATCACAGTGAGACTGTGATACAATCCATAGAGCTTATTCAGATATTCCATTTTGCTTGTGACTCTGTGTGAAAATTATATTAAATTCTATATAATTTGGTCACCTGTGTAAGCTATTGTATCCATTACTAGAGTCAAGATAATAAATAGTTCAATCACTACAAGAATCCCTTTCGTTATAATTTTAAATCACAGCCCCTCCCCCCAACTGATGGCAACCGAGCAGTCCTGCACTTGTAATATTTTGTCATATACAAAAAAGTTACGTAAAGGGAATTATACATTTGAATTTGTAACCTTTAGGAATTAGCTTTTAATCACCAACCATAATTCTCAGGAGATTCATTTAAGATAAATCTAGTTCTTTTTTATTGTAGAATATATACCATGTATACCACAGGTTGTTTAAAAGACATGTGTTGGAGTTTCTACTGATTCCAATGTACATATTTTTGTGTGAATGTATTGTCCTTTGGGAGGATGCATGTTTGAGTGCAAGTGGTTGCTAATATGCTCACTGGATAGTGAATTTTTAAAGAAACTGAACGTTGTCTTCTAGAATGACTACCACATTACTGTCCTATCAAAAATGTGTGAGTTAGCAGGTTTCTCCTTATCTTTGCCAGCATCTGGTGTTGCCTCTTGTTTTTTTTATTTTATAAGTGCGCAGTGATCTTTATTTCCCCTAATATATATTCCCTAATGTTGAGTATACCTTTCTTGGGGATTTTGGCAATTTTGCGTACTTTTTTTTTTAAAAAGAAGATTTGTGCATACAGAACTGGGATACAGGCCAGAGGTGCAAGGGCAGTGAGAGGATTCACCAGAGACCAAGTAGGAAGCAGAACAGGCATATGGTCGAAGTATGTTGCTGAAGGGAGAGGTCTGCTGTGCCATGTGGGTCACTTCCAGGGTGGGGATCGAACTTATGCTGAAGTGGCTTTAGCTTCTTAGTGCTGTGCTTTAACCCGCTGCGCCACTAGGGAGGGCCTGGATCCCGTAGCTTTTACAATATTTCTTTGTGCTAGTGACTCCCAGGTTTGTACCTCACATTCCTGTCTTTTCTACTCCCAATATTCAATTGCCTTCTTGACATCTCTTAACACTGGCACCTCAAACTTTGCCATGTCAATTAGTGAATCTAAGACTCACTCTTTATAGCTCTTTCCCTCATTCCAAACACTGAATCCTGTAATTTTCTTCCCTTTTAAAGAGTTCTCAGATCTAATTACTTATCTCCATGTCTGTTGCTACCAACTCATTTCTCCTGTGGACAGCTTCAGAGTGTTCCCAGGAAACTCCTGCTTTTGTTCCCTCACTCGCATAAACTTTTGTAGTGAGATTTTTGATGATCTGTGTCTGACCTTTCCCTTTTCCTGGTCTTCCTATTGCCCTGTGATTCTGTTCCTCAAGTGCTCTGTGATGCTGACCTTGCCTTCCTCTCCAGTCCTCGTTGCTTACTTGCTTTGCACATTGCCAACAAAATTGGAATCCTCTAAATAAGTCCAGCTGGCTAATTATAAATTTTTTCACCATAAGAAAATATGTGGGTATCCTTGACAGTTATATATTACCCTAAGTATGCCCCACTTTCAGCCCTCAGTAACAAGGAAATGCTCTTTCTGTGATCACTTAACACATTTTTCCTGCCTGGAATGTTATTCACACCTACACTATATGTAACTCCTCAAGTTTAAACTTGTGGATCTCATAATGCTGTTCCCGACCATCATATTAAAAGTAAGCCCCCCCCCTCCAAAAAAAAGTAAAGTCCTTGGTTATTCCCTCTCAAGAAACTGAGGGTCCTCCTCCCCACTTTATTATTTGCTGGATTGTACACAAATAAAGGCTGGGTCAAGTTAGTTTTCTTCATTGTATACTTTATGTCTGGCTGAGTGCTTAGCATGTTTAGTATATATGTAATAAATATTTGTGAGTGAATGAGTGAGAAAGGAAAGTACAATATATTAAAACGATGTAGAGTATTTAGGGTAATATATATATAATTGCCAATGAAACCCACTGCTAAGTATATATTTTCTTACCATGAAAAAATTTATGATTAGCCAGCTAGACTCATTTAGAGGATCCCAGTTTTGTCGGCAACACCTCCAAAGCGCTATAGTCAGGAGCCAGTGAAACACTTGCCTTCTCGCCATCAGCTCTGATGAGGGTGTTGACCTTGGCCACATCAGTGCATAGAGCTTCACAGTCTGTGTGCTCTGGCATTCATTGGCCTTGACACTGCTTTTGTCTCCTCTCCTTCATGGCTGACTCAGTGCTCAGGAGGATTGATGAGGTCATAGTGGCCAGGCTTGCTTCTCCTGGGACTCTTTTGAGGATTCTTGGGGTGATTTCAGAGTCTCATGTCCACTGAAAATTTTTCAAGTTATTTTATTGAGCTACTGATGATAGTTAATTGCCCTTGCTTAATCCAGGGTATAGTGTAATAACTGGAAAGAGAAACAAAAATTATTCTAGTTTTTTTATCTCATTCTAAAAATGAGTTTTATCTCTCATTGTGAGAGAGCTATTTGTAGGAAACTGAAAAAGCTGGTTGGTATATGTAATGCCAGGTATTATTTGTGCTTCAGTCATGCTCAGAGAATATTTCTCCTTCTAGACAACCATGGCTTGTTTCTCTCTGTATTGAGGGAACTATTGCTAAAAGATTGGTCATAAGTGCCAACATTTTCTTTTATTCCTCTCTTAGCACTGTGGCTTTC